GGGATCCCTTCATGCGCAAATGAGTACTTGAAAGATTGTTCAGCAAAAGAGAGAACCCTCGAAGAAGTAAAATATTGAACTTCGTCAACTAAGGAGTCTAAAGCAGGACAGGATGAACTTCGGAGGTTATTTCAGTGGACATCTTAACTTAAAGAAGAAGACTGTATCGTTGCCATATCCAACCTTAAAACTATCAACAAAAACATAGTAACTTTCATTATGGTCTGAGAAAACATGATCTTCAATTCCATAATCCGCCGAAAACATTTGTTTCAGCAAAACTTTGTAAGTTCTCTCCATTCCTTTCCTCAAACCCATTTTATTTCGGCTCAATTTTGTCAGAATGCTCCCAACAGCCACTCCGATGGAACTATCTACTCACCAGGAAAGAGGAAAGCCACTTCCATTAATCAGAAACAGAGCCAAGAGCCCAAGGTTCAGCAAATACTACTACCATACCATCATCGATCACCTTCTGACAACTTTTGTAAAACAAACAATCTGTTGGATAGAGTAAAAGCAAACAAAACACTCTCAAGACTTAGAGCCGGTCAGCGATGAGAAGAGTGGGAGTCAAGCTCGAAGAGCATTAACAAGCGCATGCATGCGCACGTACAAAGAACACAAGAACCCAGAAACGATTCATCGAACAGAATCGCGGACAAGAATCGTTCGTAAAATCGGCAGAAGTTTACCTCCTCGCTTCCTCCAAATTGTCAGCACAGGGAGGGAAGAGATGAGAGAGAGAGAGAGAGACAGAGAGACGTGCCCGATGAGTCTCTGCGGTCTCTGCTTCTTGTTGTTGGCCGGCCGATACGAGCCCAGATGGCTCGATCCGTCGCTTCATTTTTATAAGAGCGCGGGGGAGCCAACCAACGCTCCCCGCGGGGCCAGCCCACCCCCGCCCCGGTCCACGTGGCGGATAAGAGCGGGCCACGTGTTCGCGGTCTTGCGGCTGAGAAATGGGTGACGCATGTGAAAACACCGTCTTCTCATTTTGACATCTGCACGGGAAAAGAGTTCCGATATTGCTCTGCCTCTTTGGGTGGTTCTCACGCAGTCATCCTCTCTTCTTGCTCCTACGGTCGAATTAGACCGATGATAACAGCGAGAGATCATCGGTTTAACCTTAATTCTTTCCGTACGATATTTAGATATTCTAAAGGAGGGTGGATCGAAATCGGGGTGCCAAGTAAGGTGGCGGGCGACGGCTATTGAAACCGTAAACAATTGGGTCATATTCGGCTTCCGATGAAAGTCCGCCGCATTACTCAATCTACCGCTTTACTAAACTATGACATTATTTGTGCTTTAAAGAGTTCGTCGGAGGTTAAGAAGGCGATGCTCGTGTTCATCGAGTGATGCTCGTAAGTAACGAACATCGGTAACCAGAAATGAATTGACTTCAAGGTATCTGCTCATCATTCAAGTCTTGCTTGCAGGAAGTTTTGCAACGAAAAAGAAAAGAATAGCTTAAGGGGGAAAATGGCAGAAATGGGCCTCTACATCAAAATGGTTCATCACCAATTGGCACCGTAACTTGCCATGTCTCTTCCGATGCACGAGAGCTCGTACATAGTAAAGCAAGCATGTGGTTGAGAGACGACGCGAAAGATAAAGTGATAATGCGCTGAGAACCACACCCTATTGCCATTAACCAGGGCCATACAGCATTTTTTCCATCTTTGTTTTTATTGCAGTTTTGTCTTCCTAATGTTGAAGCTGCTTTCTGGTAATCTGGCCGTCATCCAGCTCTTTTGTGGGTCACACTATTTTTTGGTGCCTTCTCCTCTTTCTTTGTCACTGGAAATGATTCGAATCTCGTACAGTCGCTCTTTCCTCTTTCAACTTGCTTGTCACAGACTATGTCCAAGTCTTAGGGGAGAGATCCTTTTGAGTACTCGATCTAATATCTGATAACATTGCATCTAGGTGGAGAACAGAAGGCATAGCTTAAAAATAATAGCTGATGGACCCTTTGATTCGTAATTTTCACACAATTGATGTTAGTAGGAGAAATTGAAATCCCATCTGTCGAAGGGCACAGTGAATTGACGGGTCACGGCATCCAGGTAATCCTACCCTATGGAGATGCATCACTTACAGGAACATGGATAAAAGCAGTCAGCACTCTTACAGAAAAAGCGTGTTCTGCAGCTTGCTGTACTAATACCGATCCTTAGTATAACCAAACGTGAAGTATCATTGCCTCGCTTTTCAATGCTTTCGCTTAAGATAGAGAACTAGACGGAAATTAACAAGATGACAGACTTATCACACTGCATGGTTTCGCAACTTCCACTGAAACTTTAAATTACAGGATACAATGTACAGTTGACCAGCACCACAAATTAGGTAAGAGATGAAATTTGCTGTAACACTACAAACAGAAAAGGGACTCCCCCACAGGTTTGCTGTACATCAGCGGGGAAAAAAGAATGAAAAGAATATGTCTAACTTATTGTGAGCACTTCATCAATGTGCAAATGTAATCTCTTAAGGACTTTGCGCACATTATCAATTAAAGGATGTAACTTATCACCAGAGAGGAACAAATGCATACAACCCCTGATATCAATCCAAGTATATCCCACATTCTTTTGGACTCCTCTCGCTTCCATCAATTCTCTAACTTCTACTGCTTCACCCCACCTGCCACTGTCTGTATAAGAATTGGCAAGAAGCACATAGTTTGACGAGCTAAATGGTTCATTAGCATGAAGATGTTCGGAAACACGTCTTGCCATTCTTAAATTCCCATGTAGTTTGCAGGCTCCAAGCAATGCTCCCCATATTACCACATCAGGCTCAGAAGGCAAGCTCAAAAGAAGAGCCTCGGCTTCCTCTAAGTGTCCTGCTCTCCCAAGCAAATCAACTATGCACGTATAATGCTCCACAGTGGGCTTGATGCAATGCCTATGAACCATATCAATGAAATGATGGCAACCTTCCTCCACTAAGCCAGCATGACAACAAGCACTGAGAACTCCCACGAAAGTGACAACATTCGGGGAAACACCTGGTGATCCTTCTCTCAACATCTCATTGTAAAGCTTCAGAGCCTCTTCAGCTTTGCCATTTGCAGCATACCCACATATAATTCCATTCCACGAAACAATATCTTTTTCAGAGAGGCCCCTAAATGCTTTTAAAGCATTGTCCATCTCGCCGCACTTGGAATACACATCTAAAAGTGAACTTCCTACAACCACCTCATTTTCTAGTCCACACTTCAAAACAAGTGCATGAAGTTGCTTTCCCCACTGCAATGCATTGGAGGTAGCACAACCACCAAGCATACCACCGAAGGTGAAAGAATTAGGCTTCAGATCTTGGATACGCATTTCATGGAGCAAAGACTCTGCAAGTTCCATGTGCCCACTCTGTGAAAACCCAACTATCATCGTCGTCCAAGAAGCAAGATCAGGGTCGGCAATCTCCTCAAACAACTTGAAAGCAGAAGCAACAAATCCACACTCAAAGTACAAGTCGATCAAGGCATTGTTTATAAAGCAATCAGAGCAGTACCCACGGCGAATAACTGCCGAATGCACTATCATCGCTTCAAACAGCTGGGCGTGCGACCCGAAATCATTTAAAATAATGGCATAGGTATATTCATCAGGCTGAATCCCTTCTCTGCAAAGCTCGCGAAATAATTCTACACAAGTGTCACCGCCTCCATGCTTAGAGAAACAAGAGATCATGGCATTCCACGCAACTAAGTCCCTCTCAGGCATTTCGCCGAACACCTTCCTCGCACTATGCACATCCCCAGCTCCCCCATACATTCTCATCAAGTTAGTCCCCAGAAAGGCATCTGAACCCACGCCCATCTTCACAATCTCACCATGAACTTGTTTTCCCAACCCCAGATCACAACAAGGAACCACAATCGAGTACGTAACACCATCCGGCCTAACAACAGAGAGTCGCATTTTCAAGAAATGGGTCAGTGCCCGCTCGTGCCAATTGCACTTAGCAAGCCCAGAAATGACGATGTTCCACGACTGGCAGTCTTTCCCAGGGGCGGATTCGAAGAGGCTCAGGGCCTCGGCGAATGAACCGGAGTTGAAGTAACCGGACAAGACGGTGTTGTAGGAGACGGCGTTGGCGGCGGGCATGGCGGAAAGTAGCTTCCGGGCGTCGGATAAGGAATTGGACTTGACGTAGGATTGGAGGAGGAGGTTGCATCGATAGGCATGGCTGTGAAGACCTTGCTTGATGAGGGAAGCATGGAGAGCTCGCGCTTTGTACATGTGAAGGGAAAGCTAGCTAGGTCTTTTTCCCTTTCCTTCCCGGGAGTGCGAGAATTTTGTATTTTGGTCGGGGTCGAGTTTCAACGGCTACTGGACGTGGGATTTGAAACTTTTTATCTTTTCTAGCAAACGTTTTCCGAAATTGAGTATTAATAGAAAAAAAAATCGATTAAGCCTAATTTTACTTCTCTATCAGGACGGAAAAAAATAGTGTTGCTTGAGTGAAAGACAATTTTGTTTACTGAACATACCAAATTCAATATTTTGTTCTAAAGTTCGTATCTCCTGTGACGTTATCATATCACATCCGGACACCTTTGCATTTGGAAACAATCTGTGTATAATTTTATCCGCCGGTGTTGAAACCTCAAGTTTCTGTGTTTTTTTCCTGACAGGCGAATTTCTGCACGTGTTGTTGTGGTAATGGTGACACAAAGCAAATCTGAACTATTCAACTCTTTTCCTTCTTTTTTAGCTTGAGCGAACAAATACATCCGCAGGCCAATAGCTTTCAAGAAATATGAATTGAGTTACTGAACCGTGCAAAATATAGACCTTGCAAAGCTTATATCCGGCAGGAACTAGCACTTCTTGAATTATCACCACGTTCCCGTTACCTTGAGAAGTACAATTGCACCGTAAGCCATTAAATAATGACTATGAAGTGTAACTCGGTCAGTTCGAGACTCTAAGCAACCAATGATATACACACCAGATGCCGCCTTATCATGAAACTCATCCTAATCATAAAACTCTTTTCTTTCTATCAGTGCTGATAATCCTAATACAATAAAGATCAATGCATTTTTTTGGGAAGTGATGCAAGAACAAAGATCACATGTAATATGTACAATACGTGACCAGTAAGGGCAGCATGTATGTCGTGATTTGGGATTCTTGTACACTCTAGGATACAACTGGATAAGGTAAAGTTGATTGTCACATCTGACTCACTATACTTTGGGAGATTTGAACAGTTCTCTCCATTTCTGAGGATCACTTCCTGGACCTTGTCCCTGCGATTTCCAATGAACAAGATAGACAAGATTTTGTCACTATCACCCTGTACAGAATCATAGCTCATTGTAGATAGCAAAACAAGTAAATTTCACTAAAAATCCTAGTTTTAGCAATCAGAGTACGTGTGCAGATTCAGAGGTGAGTCTGCAATAGCATTACAGGAAAGCTGCTTCGTGTAATCTCTTGGAAAATTGAGACTTAAATTTTTCTTTCGAAATTACCAACTAAATGGAAAACTTGTAAGTTAGTGAAAGTTACTTTCTTCTCTTACGATGTCACTAAGTACATGGAACAAAAAAACTCACACTTTGAAACTTACTTTTGCAATGCGGAAAATTTCTAACCCTAATCACCTTGGCTTATCCTAAGTACTGATATATTCGACCAAGGAATGAAGATTTTTATTAATATGTTATAGTTAAGATTCCACCTGAAAAATTAGTTAACATCCGTTAAAAAGTTACTAATCATCAGTAGGTTTGACGTTATTTATCCTCACATTAAAAGTTGCTAATATCATGAATCTTAATACCTAATTTTATAACGGGGAAGGATGTACAATTACCTCAACAGAGTTGATTTCGTATATTTCACCCTCAGCAAATTCTAGGTCCAGTAACTGTATGCAAGCTTCAGCAACGACAAGCCTGCTAACCTCGCCAAAGAGTTTATCCCCTGTGAAGTTGCGCGTATTAGAGCAAGCAAGAGATCTTTTTCATAGATGAGAGGCAGTACAGCCAATGCTGCACCAACTGCTCTTTGACAGAAGAGCTTTCATCATTTCAACCTCCCAAGCAATTCAAATTATTTAACGGATATGGGAGGTACTAATCAAAGAGTTGCCAATCCCAGATAATGAGCTAGACCTGACTAAGTTTTCTTTTTCACCATATAGATGCTAGTAAGTTGATCTAATTATGCTTGTACCATACACAGACCAAGGAAGTGTGATGCAATAATGTGAGATGGAGGGTTTCTTGGACCACGTCCTCCAGTAGTATGTGTAGTCAGATGTTTCATTTTAAGTCTATATAGCAGCATGCCTAAATATCAAGACAAACAACAAGGGTGGTTAGCAAATGGTTCTGAAACCATTTGATGCCCCAAAATTGAGTAAAAATAACCATTTGCTACCCTCAAAATTGAGTACAAACTACAAATAGATCAAGGTCACTTCAAGAAATTAGTTTAAGAGCAAATACAACTTAGATTACTGATATATACAGTGAGATGTAAAAGACTGACATGAATTTTCTCAATGTCCTTCTATTTCCTGTTTAACTGAGAAAAAGATGTTTAGTATAGCATCACTGAATTACTTGTGATTTTCCATGTTTGACACTACAGGCATCAAGTAAGGAACTATAGATCATACCTTGACCAACAACAACTGCACGCCGTTGGCCAGCTGTAGCTTTGAGCAAAGTATTTAAGTCGTATGATGTGTAGGGCCCATCAGTCAATCTACCGGGTCTAGTAAATTAAACAGCTGAGTGTCAGGATTCACATACTCATTATCATAAGGAAAACAAAGTATAAGAGATCGATCAAAACCTCAGTATAGTAAATGGAAGACCAGATTGACGAAGAAAGTCTTCCCCCATCCTCTTATACTTAAGGACTCCAAAAAGGTTCATGATGCTGTCAAAAGAAAAAAAGCAGATATTGTAGACATAATACTCAAGATGTAACTTATGGACAAATCCAACATGATAAGAATCTAGAAATAAAAAAAAATGCAAACATCTGACCCTAGGCTGCGCAGGCGGGCCATTAGTCAAAGTGGTGTGGGGAATGGGATGAGGTTGGGGGTTCAAACCCCAAAACCAACTGAAATAACTCAATAAACATAAAGACTGAAAACATCCAGAACTTAGATTTCTTCTCTGTGGACAAACTGTGCATCCTACGGTATCTAATAGGCAACTCCAAGCGGCAAGAGCTACATACACTGTGACGATCATGACCTTCTTCTCCTCTTATTTCAGCTTTTTTTTTTATCATTTTAAAGAAAGAAAATCAACTACAGAAGCTAATAAATATCCTGCAGATGTAAGTAGTTATCGTACAATCAAGACAACACATAAGAAAGTTTCTCACATGTTCCCTGAGGTAGAGTTCTGAAGTTCACTTTTCACTGAAAGGCGACACTGATATCAATGAGTGCAAAAAAAATAATATGTATTTTTGGCACTGAATAAACAATGCAACTCAAACATAATAATGAACGAGCAGCTTATATCACCGACTCACCTCCAAGGCAGTTCGTTGAACTTAGTTACTCCCACTGAAGAAACAAGAACTACTCTCTCCACGGACGAAGGCAGAGCAGAGATTAGATTTCTCACACCCTCCCAATCTTCAATGAAACAAACAGTCAGAGACACTCATGGTGAATAACTGTGCTTTATATGCAATTCAAGCATCCCAAAAGAAAGATGCAGCAATATGGCAACCAGACAATAGGGACTCTATGGAGAGTAGCGCAAACAAAAGAACATAAAATCAGTAATGCTGTCACTTTTCTCTCTTAGATAACATAAAATTCTTATTCTAACCTACTCTTTCTGGAGAATTATCTCCCTCCCATCGCTTTGAAGGAAAGGCTGTAGTTCCTGTGCAGCAAATGACATGCGTGACTCCCTGTGAAATTTAAAAAGATAAACATCAGTGTTAATGACGACAAAATAATGGAATTAACAATAAGCAGATACATGATGAGATCTCTTGAAAATGTTTCATAATTGAAACCGAAGTTGTACATTCCACAATAATTACCTCAAACATGGATGGATCCAGATGCTCTGGGTTCCTTGTGTCTCCTTGCCATACCTACCAAGAGACAAAAGCCTATAGTTATAAACCTCACATGCGGATTAAGCATTGACAAGGTGAAATTGGATGCAAGTGAGAAAAGAAGAATGGAAACTGCAAGGACCAAACAGATATAGGTAGCACCTGTAGTCTCTCTTCATCTTGTTGGCCAAACAAAGATTTAGCCTTATCAAGATCTCGTATAAAGAGGCGTGTTTTAATATTCCTTTCAAGCAATGACGCGACAACTAACTGTCCTGAAAAGGAGAGATGAAATATATTATGAAGAAGGTTTCTTAGGTAGGAATGCATTGTTTTGTACTGTGATATATAAAGGCTGGAAATGTTCTCCTATTTCAATGGGACTACTTTCATCAAATCCACATGCGAGAGGCTTCAAAGCACAGCAATACTTTGACAAAGAAAAACAGCACCCACACTCCACGGCACGTGTAGCTGTGTAGGCGACTGAAAGGAAACATCTCAACACTCTTTGGTGATACCAAAAAAGCCACTACCACCCCTAACTCAGCTCATGCAGATTTTAGAATATCTGCTAAGTTTCTCCCCCACCTCTTTAGTCAAGTTGATATTGTATAATAAGGTTAAAAAGAAGTACGGCGCCGCCAACCAAATGGTTCAGTGAGCTTAACCAATGGAAGTTGCTGCTGTGAAACTATCTGTTGTTCGCCACAATGGGGTTTAGATGAGTCAGATAGCAAGAAATGATCAAGTTCCCAAATCCCATCGTCCACTGGTAAAATCATATATGCAAGGATTCACAGCAATTAGAAGAGACATTGCCTCATTGGAAACATTGGATGTCCTACCCATGATCATAGCAAATTTCCCATGTCAAAGTTGGTCTCAGTGAGTAGGGACGAAGAAACAATCTCAGTTTGTTGTCCAATTCAGGAAAAAACATGCTCAATACCAATAATGAGTAGGCTTCAATCAAATATATATATCTATGCAAATAATCCAAACTGAGCAGCAACACCAGAAGCCACCCAGACTCTCATAACCGTCTATTTCAGAAGCCAGTAAACAAAAGCAGCTAAAGAAAGATCTACAAGCAAAACCGCCCCGCCGGAGCATCATCAATCCAGAATCCAGAACTCGCCGCCGCCGCCGCCGCCGCCGGAGCAATATAAAAAATCGCCCCCGTCAGTCAGAGCATCATCAAAGAGCAAGCAAGAAAAACGAACGAGAACTCGCGTACCGACGCCACCGGAGCCTCCGACGACGAGGACCAGCTTAGAAGATGATGCCGGGGGAGCGGCTCCGGAATCGGCCTCGATCACCTCCTCCCTCACGGCGTTCGCGGTGGACGACGCCGCGTCGGCGGCGGCCCTTCTCCTCGGGCTCGAAATGGAAGCCTCGGAGAAGCTGCTCCGACGAGAGAAGCTCGGCGAAGGAGGACGGACGGAGAGAGCAGATCTCCGAGGCGCTACCGAGAACCTGTCGAGCGCGACGGGAGAGCTGGAGAGGCGAGTGAAGCTGAACTGGGTCGCCATCGCCATGGAAACGTTCAGAGCTCGGACCAATGGCGCGCGCGCGCGAGATAGAGAGAGAGAGAGAGAGAGAGCGCCTTCGGACCACCAGGCTTGAAATTTTTTTTTTTCCCACTTTCTTCTTGGATTTATTCTGGTAGAGAAAATGAATGCTTCTTTTTTTGTTCCTAAAAAAAACTAAAAATAAAAAAACATGTTTAAATTAGGCTTAATCCCCTCAAAAACTCCAGCTTTAAGTCCAATTCTAATTTTGCATCGGAAAACTCCCACCCTAGTCCCAAATCTGCTCTCGCGTCTAAAAGTCACCACTAAGTTCTTCAAAATTATGAACATCGTGCCAGTTAGTTGTCCATTATAAGAATCCATGTCTTCACCAACTCTCTCACTTTTGTATGGAGTAACGGCAGCTTCCTGATGTTGGTAAATTTTGAAGAAATCAGCGGCTTTTTTTTTACGCGTGACAAATTTTGGACTAGAGAAAAAGTTTGTGGTTTTTTTGGGACAAAAAAAGTCGAGACAAAATTGGATTTGTACCGGGGTGGGATTGCTTGAATGAAAGAATTTTCGGCGAATTAGTTTTGTGGACTTTCACGCGTTTGGTTTGCTGAAAATGATCGGTCAACGGAAAACTTTTCACGATCAAAGAAAAATATGCATGCTTAAAGTTAGGAAAATGAATTTCTTATCTTGAAAAGTAAAAACTCTTTTCCTGAAAATGATTTCCCGAAAAGTATTTTCCTTTATTGTGAAATTTTCCCAGAAAACTAATTACGGAAAATTTTTTCACTCAAACAAACAAATACACCCTAAAATTCGGAGTCTTTTAGGGCATAGACCATCGATGTTATTGAGAAGATGTGTATGATTTTGATCGTTTTTGAATATATCAAGTGTTTCGAACCAATAAAATTCACAACATGAGTTTTTTTTTTTTTTTATAATCGAGGTGTCCGCGCGGCCGGCGAGCTAGGGCTCAAACCGGCGGTGATGCCCTACTAGTCTTTGAGGGGGCTAGCGCAGCATCCCACCGCCACGACCTCCCACTTAAATCACCGATGGGCGAGTTTTGAACCCAGGACCTCTCGTGAAAGGAACTGAGCGCAAACCAACGCGGCCATCGATGGGTGGGTCACAACATGAGTTTTGTAATCCACAAAATAAATAAAAATTATTTTTCTAATAGCATGTTGGTTAAATATTGTGTGAAGTGCACAAATATTGTATGATTAAGGCTTTGTTCGTTTTGAGGAAAACGTGACGTTTCTAAACTATTTTTCAGGAAAATGATAATATTTTCTAGTGTTCGGCTGAAACTGAAAAATGAACTGGAAATATTTTCCATCATTCGGTATGAAATATCTAATTTTTTTTCCTTTTTGCACTCCTTTTAATAATTTTTTTATTTTATGTTTAAAAAAATCAAAAATTATTTTTTTTAAATTCTGAATTTTAAATAATTTTTTATAATTCTTTTCTTTTCTTTTTTTTCTCTTTTTTTTTTTCATTTCTTTCTTCTCGATGGCCGGCGATCGGCCATAGATGAAGCTTAGGTGAGATCTCACCTCGCCTCGAGTGAGGCCTTGCCAGATCCGGCGAGCTCGCTAGACCACAACTCGCGAGGCAACAGCGAGGCCTCAAGCCTTGCTGCCCTTTGGCGAGCTCGAGCCTTGCCGGCCTGAGGCTCGAGCTTGCTTGCGCCGAGAAGAAGAAAAAGGAAAGAAAAATAGAAATTTAATAAAAATAAAAAAGAAATAGTTAAAGAATAGAAAGTGAAAGAAGGAGAAAGGAAAATCGCAAGGTGTTTTCTCCAATAAAGGAAATGTGTTTTTCAGCATGAGCGTGCCAGATATCAATGACAATGACTAATGAAGTGCCCACACCACAGTTGGTCGTTGAAGCCATTTGCTTGTACTCCAAGTTTCGACCTCCACGTTCAACAAGACCATATAATCCTCGAGCTCGATCCCCTCCTCATAGCTACGGCTCGCCATGGATTCTTCGTCCCTCTCCAGGCTCTCCGTCCTTCAGAGACACTTGCAGCCTCCTGCGTCGCTCCTTTACAACCAGGTTGCGCCGAGCCGTTTCTATGTAGCTTCCTCCATAGAATCTGAAGTAGGAGTAGGAGTTGATGCTACTTTTTTTTTTTTTTTCGGGTCTTCTAACTCCGTTCGGTTCCGCTGTAGGGCAATCACCGCGCCGGCGACAGGTCGATCAGAGTTTCTCCGGAGGTGTCCGAAGCTCTGTCGGCCGGCAGACCCGTGGTCGCGCTCGAGTCCACCGTGATTTCTCACGGCACGTCTCGCTGATGCACTTTGTCATTCGGTCGAACTGCTTTCCAGTTGCTTTTTCGTTTGATTGATCCGCGGGCCTGTGTTTTCTTTGTGTCCAGGGATGCCTTATCCTAAGAACTTTGAAGTGGCCGCGCAAATGCAAGCCGTCGTCAGGGAGAACGGAGGCGTTCCTGCTGTGATCGCTATCATAGACGGAGTCCCCCGAATAGGTTCTTACATATCACCGATGAGTTAATATAAAGAAAAAAAATCAGGAACGTGCTTTTGTGTGTTATTAGGCAAATTTGTAAGTGCTCTTTCTGGGTTTCTCTCGGTGATGATGGGCTCACCTGAGGGACTTTCTTCGAGATTTTTACTACGTAACTCAAGCAGTAGTGATTTCGTCGGCAATGAACTTGATGTTAAATTGCCAATTCGTTTCCAGAGTTTACGAGAGCTGTCTAAAGTAGCCAGGATACACCAGTAGCCTGAGCATCCAGATCGTACTATCTGGCTGCAAATGTCTACTTCCCTTGGCCAGAGAAAGTTTTATCTGCATAATTTAACTTCCTAGAAAGATCAGACAACGGAATGCAGAATCATTCTAGCGCCCCTTGAGCAGTGAGGGTTAGAACTGGTGCAAAGGAGGTCTTAATATCTGCTTCTGTTTGGTTAGTTTCTTTTGCATTGTTGAAATGACGCGGATGGACGTGTGCATCTCCCATACAACGTGGAATAGAGACATCAATGCACCCTATTATTTCTGGTATTCTTTAGCCACCCTGCCCAATATGGGCTTTCAACCAACATGTTCATGACTAGTGAACCTAGTTTTGGGGGAAAGTAAAGCACCTAAGTTTTCACTTCAGAGAGCAAAAAGGGTTAATGTTCATTTAACTTTTGGGGAATATGTATCTTTGGCTCTATTGAAGTATGAAGCAGAGCTAGGGAGACACTATAGCACTTTATTTGTGTGAATTAATCACAACATTAAGATGTTTTCCAATTATGTCCGTGGAAAAAGGATCTGCCTGTTCCTTCTCTTCCAAGTAACAAGCAATTGTAGGCTGGAGCGTGATATTCATTGCAACTTCTATCTTAACTTTCCAGAGATGGAACTAGCACTTTTTCCCCTTATCTACCATGTTTTTATAACTGTTACTGCAGAAAGAACGTGTTGTTTTCAACTTTTAGTAAATTGAAGCCTATCACAGGTGTTGTTTTCCCTTATCTACCGTGTTTTTATAACTGATACTGCAGAAAGAGCGTGTTGTTTTCAACTTTTAGTAAATTGAAGCCAATCACAGGTGTGGCTCCTTATAATTTTATGTTGACGCAAGAGCCAGACTAAGTCTGATAGATACTTGTTTGAGCAGGTCTAAGCATGGAAGAACTAGAGAAGTTTGCTAAGCTTGGAACAGGGCCTTCAAAGACAGCTCGGAGAGACATTGCCCATGTGGTAACACGCCATATTATCTGATTTTCACTGCGTCTAGTTGCTGAAAAAATTTTACACGCGAAAGTTCCAATAATTTCTGGTTAAAAGCTGCATGACTTGCCGTTTCTTTTAGACATGCTTCTATCTGTCTATAGTTAAAAGTCAGGTATATCATCAGTTAAATATTACTTCCAAGGTCTCTGTTTGCTCATGTGAGGCAACTTTGGAGCGTCCGCTTATATTTTTATTGGCATTCTATTAGAGTGATGAATTGTCTCTAGTTGCTAAGTAAGTCTTTACATGAGATCTCTGCTATAGAGCCACACTTCATTTCGGCAATCATACTTGTACTACCCCCTCGCTTCATTTTGGCATTTTTACTTGTACGCCCCTCCACCCCCCGCGCCCCCCCTCTCTGTGCTGACTCCTTGGCTTCGTTACTTAAGTTGTGCAGTCATAAAGTGAACAATGAATTTTTTTATTTGCAATGCATATTTCTTTCAGCCATTTATTATTTATCTTTAGTTTTACATATTAATTTGTGCTAGGTGGCCTCTGGGGGAAATGGTGCAACTACTATTTCGGCGACCATGTTTTTTGCTCATAAGGTGACTGCCACTAGTTCTCAACCTGATTCCCATTCATTTTGCTTGCCACTTTTGCTAGATGTATCATGAAAGCTTTAAGAAATGTCCTCAATCACTTAGTATCTATCTTGAAGGTTGGGATTTCTGTCTTTGCTACTGGAGGAATAGGTGGAGTGCATCGTCGTGGCGAGCATAGTAAGTACATTGTCCAGAAATCAATGTAGTAACAATATCACGATAGCTCTCTATATCCCTTTCTGAAGTGCCCCAGCTGCAGTTTTTTGTCCCTGCTTGACTGTACCATGATGTGCTTGGTTAGTTTAAACCCTTCATGCCTATGGTTTGAGTGGAAATTTGTCCTGCCTATGGTCTAGATGTGGATGGAAGCCACGTTAGCTATTTGCCTGTTGTAAGAGTTTCTATGACAAGCGACACCATTGGCTGTGCTACATAACTAGTTAGGGCAATTATCCCTTTTTTTCTTGAGAAGAAAATGTCTGGGAATTTAGTGGAGTGATGAAACTTAAGACTTTCTCGTGAATGCTAATACCAACTATGCTTCGTCGCCCGCTTTGTTGCAGCAATGGACATATCCTCAGATCTTACAGAGCTTGGGAGGACTTCTGTAGCAGTTGTCGCTGCTGGTGCAAAATCAATTTTGGATATCCCCAGGACACTTGAGTATTTGGTAACAGTTTTTGTTATTCTCAAACTTCTATTATTTATACCAAAGTCAGCCAGGTTAGTTGTCTAGTTCTAGTTACTCATTTTCTGGAATAACAGGAGACCCTTGGAGTTTGTGTTGCTGCATATGGTACCAATGAATTTCCAGCCTTTTTTACCCGAACCAGTGGTTGCAAGGTATCGATCATCAATCAAAGTGAAGTTACACAATATATGCTAGCGTGCATAAACTCAAGCATTTCATCAGTCATGCTTTTTATAGAAATGGAGTATTTGTCAACAGATAAAATAATCCACCTTATCTAGTTGGGTGTTGAATTGTTTTGTTCCCCCTTCTTAGTGACATATTAGCATTTTAGTGTGGTTACACTAAATTCTCTCTCAACTCACTTGTGACTTCAAAGTCAAATGTCAGATATGGTGACTGTTGTTTGTTGTTACTCAGAGAAACTATCTTTCGATAAAAAATGTTGCAAACCTTTAAGATTAAAGAAGCAGAGATTTTCCCCTTAGATTTGTAATGATGCTTGGAACGTGATTGGTCGTGAGTTTATGACAATGAATCATGCCAGTGAAGAAGACTGTTTGAGATGGCGTCAAATAATACCTGTGAAAAACAAGCCCAGTTTGCACTTTATGGCTAACTGCTGCTTCTGATGATCCCTTAATAATATGCAGGTTCCCTGTCGTGTAGATTCACCTGAAGATTGTGCTCGGTTAATAGGCAAGTAGCTCGTTATGAATTTACATGAGCACTTTCAGGATTGGGAGCAATTTTGTATCTTTCTGACCGATTATATTGATCTCAGATGCAAATAGGAAACTTAAACTTGGAAGCGGAACTCTAATAGCAGTTCCAATACAGAATGAACATGCAGTTTTGGGGAGTTCAATTGAGGATGCAATCCAGAAGGCCATTAAAGAAGCTAGGTAAACTTCTACCTTGTATCAGTGTCCCTTTTTCCTACAGTTGTCTGAAATACTAACAATTCAGCTAGCTGGAAAACCAATTAATGGGCCTCTCCGCTGCGACTGATGTTCTTGTGTTTTTTTTTTCTCAGGGATAAAAATTTTACTGGAAGTGCAGAAACTCCTTATGTGCTCACTAGAGTGATTGAGCTGACAGGAGGAGCATCGCTTGCTTCAAGTATCCTTTTTCTTGGTGATCAGTTGCAAGATTATTCTCAACTACTTCTTTTCTTCCTCATCTTTCTTTCACCATGTTAGGATTTTTTCTCTCCGAGAAATGCTATGTATACTAAAAAAAAAAGGTTGGAAAGTTGGTACAATGAATAATGTTGCAAATTGTCATTAAGTGTTGAATATGACCCCCTTGCTTAAATGACCATTTGCAATTTATCACCTCGCTTAATATAACAAGTTTGTAAATCAATATTAATATACCCAGCATTGCCTTTTTCTGTCATGCATCTGCCTGTGAACTTCTTGATTCATATTTCCGGCTTACTTCGACCGTAAGACAAAAAAATGCTTGAGGCATACCTCGGCTTCTATTCCAACTCAATACGTACTTTAACCTGTAATGCCTGTATGACACTGCTTGTCATGATTTTCTTGACCATACCAGACATCGCACTGTTGATGAACAATGCTTTTGTTGGCACTAAGATCGCTGTGGCCCTTGCACATCTTGGACAGGAGTGAGGGAATCTCAGCTCTCTTGCGTTCCGTGAGCACAGGTACTGCTAATGTTCCAAATGGCAGCACTGTTTATCTTTGTTACACATACTGTTGGAGAATCTGCTTTGTCATGTGAATCTTAAGTCCCAAGTTCCATAATCTCGATTTTTCGCATGGACATCACCAGCAGCAATGCAGTCTGGTTTTCAAATTGATCTTTTCGGGTTGCCAATTTAAGATTTCCGTTCATATGATTCAGGATTCGAAGAACACGAACTTGTTGCATTTGACCTATTCATGCTTGCGAGTCAGATGTTCAAACTGCATGACCATTAGTTGGAGGCCATAGCAGGTAGATAGCTAGAGAGATAGAAAGAGACAAAGAGGCAGCGCCCTCGTTGCAGTCTCTGATTGGCTCTACCCACCCAAACACACTTCCCCGGCACAAATCTTGATCCACCAAACATAGACATTTATGACACGATTCTCCGATTGGCGGCATTTCTTGGGAGTTGCAAGAGTTGCCACCCAAGTCGCTGCAAGCTGCAAAGGGCGGTAATAAATCGTACCATCCACTCTTGGCCCGTAGCCCAACCCGCTTGTCTCTTTATCTTAATGCGCTGAGATAATCCCAATTGTAAGGTCGCGAACTCAAACGAACCCTTCGAGAAAGGGACGGACGGTGGTGGGCCTGCTTCTCTTTCGTCCAGAGCTTTCTTACCATCTCCTCCCTCCACACTTGCCCGCACTAGGAAACAAAAAACAGATGAGTGCGTTTCGTTTTGTCTTTGTATGGACATGTTTGCATTCATCTGGCGTTTGGGAATATTGTCAAAAAGTCTTTCTTCCCCCCACCGGGCCAGCCTTTTCACACATGACAACCAATGAAGAAAGGCAGGTAGAGAGAGAGAGAGAGAGAGACAAACCAAACCCATGTTTCGAAACTAACGTCGATGGAAATTTGATAAAAGTGATGGAGTTTCTATACCTGCCCAGAGTCAGCAGGAGGAAAAATGAGTAATTTGACACAACAATTGACATTAGGCAGTTGAAAGTATGATTAGGATGGCTAGATGGGTCAGTCTTAAATCGAACCGAAAAGAAAGGTGAGAAAGTTGGAATAGGACATCAGCCGGGTACGCTTAAGGTGCTACGCACATGCTAATCATGATATCGTTGTGGAAAAATTACACGATTGTCTTTCGGCGCGAGGAGATTAACGGTTTAAGATCCCTTTCTCAGACAATGGTTTTTTAACAAATTACGTGAGTCCTATGATGTCACGAGAATGTAATGACATTCATAAATTTCAGTATAATAATCTTTCACCATCTCTGAGAGAGAGAGAGAGAGAGAGAGAGAGAGCTTCTGAGGGAAATTCCATATTCCGCCACAGAAGAGAGGAGGGAGGACAGAGCCAAAACCAGTAGCGACAAACGAATAGGCCGGTAGCGCTCGGGGAAAATTCCATAATTCCACGCACAGAAGAGGGGAGGGACAAAAGCCGAAGCCAGTAGCGACAAACGAACAGGCCCAACACGCACTCGTACGACAACAACGTGACCCCGAAGCTGTGTTGCGTTAGACCAGCATAAAAGAAAGGCAAAACCGAAACAAAGACGACTCCTTTTTGAACACGAGACCACCACCACCACCACCCCTCGCCTGAGCTTCTCCCATCGAACCCCCACCAGATATCTCCTCTCTCTATCTCTCGCTCTGCGAGCTCGGTCGGTCGAGTCGTACTTTTTCCCCTGCTAAACAGAGCTCGGGCTTCGGTAATCGCGAATCTCTCTCCCCCAGGTCGCTTCGCTCGTGGTTTCAAGTTCGTTCAGTTCAGCTCCTCCTCTTCGCGGGCTGCAGCTCCTGGTGAGGATTTCGTTTGCCCACTTTCTTTTCTGGGTGTCCGCCCTCTTGCTTGATCGGCACGGATTCGGTGGTTGTTGTTCTTCGCTCTCCCCGCGTCTCGCCACTTCGGCGTCGGTTCTTGTTCGGTCCGCTGGATTCCGTCGGTCCGGTTTTCCTTTCTCCTCTTGTTTGTACTGGTGGGAATCGCCTAATCTAGTCGTGGCTTCTCCGATTCGTTTGACCCTGTTCTTCGCCCATTCTCGTCGCCCGTTGCGGTACATTGACTTTTGATGGGTCTGGATGGAGTTTGCCCGTCTCGTTTCTGCTGATTTTCTTGAATTCCTTCTCTCTTCCTCTCTCTGTCGTCTTCTGAGATGAAGGGTTGATGTCTGCCCTGCTCTGAAGTAGATTGCTGCTTAGAAATTTTCTGTGGACTGTCCCTGAGTCGCCTCCTTTAGGACAATCGTCGCCTGCGTCGGTTATCGGAGGCTTTTCGAGTCTTTGATCGGTAACGCCGATGTTTCAAGACGACGGGTCTTCCTCGGTAACGTCATCCTCTCCTCTCCAGTTCTGTTCCCTGATGTCGCTTTCGCCGGGTTTTGGGTCACCGCACTCGTTGCTGAAGGAACTGAAATCCGAAGAGCGGGGCTTGTACTTGATACATTTGTTGCTTGCTTGTGCGAATCACGTCGCCAGCGGGAACCTCGAGAGTGCCAATATAGCCCTCGAGCAAATCTCTCAGCTTGCGTCTCCCGATGGGGATACTATGCAACGGATCTCGGCGTACTTCACAGAGGCGCTCGCTGACCGGATACTCAAGTCGTGGCCTGGCCTTCATAAGGCCCTCAATTCTACTAAAATATCATTGCTGCCTGAAGAGCTTCTCGTCAGGAAGCTGTTCTTCGAGCTGTTTCCTTTCTTGAAGTCGGCATTTGTGCTCACCAATCAAGCTATAATGGAAGCTATGGAGTCGGAGAAGATGGTTCATATTATTGACCTCAATGCAGCTGAACCCGCACAGTGGATTGCGCTTCTTCAATCTTTGAATGCACGGCCTGAAGGACCGCCCCATCTCAGGATCACCGGGATTCATCAGCACAAAGAGGTCTTAGATCTTATGGCCCGCAGTTTGGCTGAAGAAGCAGAAAGATTGGATATTCCATTTCAGTTTAATCCAATCGTTAGCAAATTAGAGAATCTTGAGATTGAAAAATTGCGTGTGAAGACTGGCGAGGCTCTGGCAATCAGCTCAGTGCTTCAGTTGCATTCCCTATTGGCCTTTGACGATGAAAATCACCGGAGAAGATCGCCTCTTCCATTCATGAATATGAATGGACCTAACTCACACAGAGTCTTACTGATGAGCCAAAACACGCTGGGTGAACTGCTTGAGAAAGACTTGGCAAATGGGAGTAGCCCAAGTACCGATTCAGCTGCATCATCGCCGCTTTCTCTAAATGCTTCGGTCAAGATGGATAATTTTCTCAATGCTTTGTGGGGATTATCCCCAAAGGTTATGGTAGTGACAGAGCAAGACTCGAACCATAATGGGTCGACTCTGTTGGAGCGACTTGTGGAAGCTTTGCACTCTTACGCAGCATTATTCGATTGTTTGGAGTCTACGGTGTCGAGGACATCCGTAGAGAGATTGAAGGTGGAGAAAATGCTGTTTGGGGAAGAAATCAAGAATATTATATCGTGCGAGGGAGCTGAAAGGAAGGAACGACACGAGAAGCTTGACAAGTGGATCCAGAAGCTTGACTTGGCTGGGTTCGGGAATGTGCCGTTGAGCTATTATGGGAGGTTGCAGGCGAAGAGGTTGATGCAGGGATACAATTGTGACGCGTATAAGATCAGAGAAGAAAACGGATGCATAGCGATGTGCTGGCAAGATCGGCCTCTTTTCTCTGTGTCGGCTTGGAAGTGTAGAAAGTAAGATATTAACTTGGCCACACTGTAAACAGAAAACTCCCTTCTTTTTATTTGGGATTAAAGGATCTTTTCCATGTATGCTGCCTTTTTCTGAGAATGATTTGCAGACTCCTCTTTCTTACTCTTCGTCTGTCAAACTTTTGTTCCCTTTTCATACAGCCAGACTCCAATCGATCATTTTTGCTCTGTATAAAGTGAATACCTGAAAAGTCAAATAATTATATATCAAATATCCTGTTTCCTTGTTTTCTACCATTAGAAATGTAGTGTTCATTTTGGTTGTGATAGGGTGTACGACTTGAAATTGCTTTTATTTCCATTTCTTGGGGGTATGATTTTTCGTAATTGCCATAGTAATTTGGCATTGCTTCATTGGCTCACGAGTGTGTCTAATCATTTATAGAATCTGTATCTCCTGAAGAAGGAACTAGTTGTTTTCAATCTGGATGATGGAATAGTGCACTCTTCAGCAAATAAACAGTCGGTTTTTATACTCATTCGAAATGGAAACGTCAGTGTCAAGTTTGTAAATGTGCATCCAGAATCCAGATCGATCTGACTATGGTGATTGTTTTATCTCTCGAGTTGCAGTTGTCGATGGTTTACGCATGCCAGAGGGTTTTGAGCCTGAATGATGATGATAAAGAAAGAAGTGTTGGGTTAAAATTGATCCTTATCATGACTGCTTAATGGAATTAGCATTGTTCTTCTGGTTTTAGTTAGTTTATCTGTTTTCGATAAGCTATTCAGAATTCTTGAAGCACACCATTAGTCCATTGATCCCGATTGTGTTTGCTTTCATTCTATGAAAGAATAACCATCCATGTTAAATGACCTGAGCCTACACTTAGAGAATGGCCCAAAGGATTTCAAGTATGCTCACGAAATTTCGAAGTCATTGCACACTGTTCATGCGATGCTCATAGCGAGATCAGAACTTTGGTCTTTTTGGTCTTTCTCAAAGTTTGAAGTATGACATTTGACATTAAGGTATTAGTCGAGTCTGTGACAACCGGGTCTCTGTATGAGCTATGAGATTTGAGATTAATGGTACTTGTGATTAACAGGCTTTCAATCGCAGTGAACCCCAATGATGTTTCTTTCTTTCCAGAAAATAGAAACAAAATTCCGAGATGAATCCCCAAAGCAATGGGCTTTGCATGGATCTTATGAAGCTTACACCGACTTGGTTTCGTCCCGTAGACTTTTCGACGGACGTCGGCACATGATTTTATGTCTCTTGACCCATTTCATCTTAACAGTAAGCTAATACTACATGTCACGCAACAAAGAGAGAAAGATTTGAACTTGCAGCAGTGCAATGCGTGAGATTGCAGAATGATTCGAACATAAGTGAAAGACAGATTCAGGAACCGGGACAGATCAATCTTTCTTTCTTCTTTATCTATAGCCAGGATGGAACCAAGTGATGCAGATGATTGCTAGAGCTTTTGTTGGTGGTACACAAAATCCAGAGTGCGTATCTTTGGTTAAATTACAGGAACTTGGAACTAAATCTACCATTGCTGTAGTGGTTTTAATGATTGAAGACCCGAAATCCAAAAACCTCGTGCCCTCCTTTTCATTATATTTATGTATCATATACTTTTGAAATTTGATTATCCAAACATCTCTCCACATTCCAACCCTATTTTAGGAATCGCACCTACTATCATGTAAAGTTTAATTTTGCATGACCATTGTGCATTGAAGTCCTATTTCTCGCTTAAGCAAATGTCGATTCTTCATGTAATTGCGGAAGAGTATTCTGAAAGCTGGTTTTGATATTGACGGAACACAAACAACAAACATATCATAACTCAGGCAAGATTCATGTTAAATCTAACCTCTAAGGACTCAAAAGTAGGAGATGTCAACTGCAGAAATAGACTAGTAGTACTTCTGAGAAACTTGGGCACATACAACTTGGAATGAATTAAAGAGCACAAAGGCAACGTAGCTCTGCCTTTCTTCTTCTTGTTCTTCTCCCTAATTGTGGCCGTGGCCGGTTACTTGGAATTACCAAAATGATTGGTTAGGAATATATCGAAGGAAAATGTAATGTTCAGGGACATTTCGGGCCTCCTCTCTTTGTCTTCCAGTTGTTATAGCAAGGGCAAGTTTGCTTATTCCCATAGGTTCCAGCAGGAACACACAAGCATTTGGCACAGCATTTTTGGCAGAAGAACAAGCACGGCTTCTTGTACGATGTCGCCGAGCATCTAGACTTGCATCTCGGACCGCAATCTGCAAAAGAATTACACAAAAACACACGCTTAAGTCCCGGTCATGGCCAGTAACAAAAATTTACGGAAGCAGGATCTGTGCAAGACTTTCACGAGAAAGCCCTGCCACGGAGCTGAACAATGAGAAATGGAACTGGAAAATGTGAAAGAAAAAGAAAAAATTGACCAACCTTGTGGCTTAAGACTGCCTTGAGTGGTACCAGACTGCAAATATATACCGAGACATTCGAAATTGGTTAGATTCTATTTGATCTTCATGAACCTAGCAGAAACACAAGACGGTGATTACATGGTAAGATAGAGTCACTCACCATCTGATGGCTGCCTCGGCTTGCTTGTACGTCAAACTCTGGAGCAAAGTCCTTGAAGCCAAAGACCTGCAAAAGGGTAGTAAGACACAATCGCTAAAATTTGGGAATTTTTCTTATTTAATTCAGTTCATGGGAGTGTTCAATGTTGGTTCACAAATCCAAAGCAAACAAAGTCGAAAATTTGCGCAGTTTCGGTCACCTCATTTTCTTGTGCTAGAACAAGCAGGAGTGCAATGCTCAGGAGGAGGATGCTTTGAGCTTTAGCCATTGCTTTAGGTTAGAGATTGTACAGAGAGAAAGTAGAAGCAGAAGACGGAGAAGGATGATGATACATTAGAGAAAGGGAACGAGGGTATTTATAGGCATGCTTGGCTGGTACTGTTGGTGTTGCTGTCTCCACTTTATTGAGAATTTACAGTTGCTCCCAACAGCATTGTTTACAGTCATCTGTCTGCAACTGCTAACAAAAATCCTCCCTCTTGGCACATGACATTAATTTATTCGCCTAAGTGCATGAGTCAGCTGAATTGTTCCTTAATCACATTTCTGCCCTAGGAAGCTCCTTGAGGTTTAGTTTATTCCAAGAAAGATGATCACAAGAATGTATAGAAAAAAGAAGAATGAGGAGAAGAAGAAGAGGAGCAGCAGCAGCAAGAAAACAAGAGTTTGAGATGCTTATATTTGTCACGTTCCTCTCATTAAGCTAGGAGATTTAATGAAATTGCTGTAACTTGGACAAGAAACATATCTAACTGGTCTTCACTGTCAATTTAAGTCACTGACTATGACAATCCGCTTGATAAAATTTTTTTTCTGAAAACCTTAAGCGCACTCTATTTATCTTTTTGGCTAAGTAAACCTCAAAGATGCCACGCTTAAACTGGGGCAACATCATCAGGCTATACATTCCAATCTCAGTGGCCCATCTTGCAAAACGCACATCGTGTAATCCGCCAAAGCGCACTCTCCCTCTCGAGCTTTCGAACTTATGACATCCCCGCACTTTTTTGTACGGAAAAAGCCATGATGCGTAGACTAGTCTTGCCTCAAAGAACCAATTTAAGTTCTCATTTGCACCCCACGCGCCTTAACGTGTTATCTTCACGCGATATTCAATTTGAAAACCTCGTGTTACACAATCTCGATAGGTACTCTGTTATACCGCGGAAAGCAACATTATACATCGCATCCTAGACATTAGTGAAACCGTCGAGGACAAAGCTGTTCATTGAATCATCTCATCCATGTGCATCTACCGACAGTTGGGATGTGCATGGCCCATTCCGCATGTTCCAGTCACATGCCCGTCTTCTTCTAAGGCCCTACACTTCACATGCCTCAGCAGACAAGGAGTAATTGCTAGCTGAAAATGTGGGCACAAAGTTCACGGGAGCCACACCACTCGCTTTTGGTAACTTTACCCCTTTTTCCGGATGTTAATGCTGTTGCTCCTTGTTGGTGAATAAAGTGGCTCCCGCTTGCTCGTGCCCCCTACTTGTTCCCCTTCCTGTTATCTTCTTGTTTCACAAGGAGAAAGTTTGAAGTTTCCGGGAGTATGTGTTGCCCACTTACTCCGTACCTAGTGAAGCACGAGCCTCCGTCCTGCAATTTGATCCCAATCTCGGCTTGTTGATCTATTTTGGGCACAAAGTTGCAACAGAGGCACGAGGCAGGGAAGGCTTAGCGGTTGAGGATGAGTGTCCCGGGGTGTGAAGTTTGAATGACAAATTGCAATGTGGATAAGCTCGTTGTGCTTGTTCTTGAAGAGGGCGTTGTCATGTGGATGGTGGCTTTTCTAATTGGGGTTGTTAAAATCTTAAAAAAAAAAAAAACAACTTAGTGCGATAGACTTAATCATGAGTCCGGCGGCCTACCGGCCTGCCCGCTAAACTACAAGGCTTGAACGAGAAAATAGGCTCGCCTGGACGGGTCTAGCCATTTTTTTGGGACCCGGTCGACTTTAGGGCCGGGCCTAGGTAGCGGCTTTCGAGCCAAGGCCCGGCCCATGATATATATAATTGATGATTATATATTAAGTAGAAAGTGACATCATAGTTGAAGTGATGAGGATACTGACTATGTTGATGATAGTGCCATTGATGGTGGTGTGTTTTAGGTACTACATTAGCTTCTCTATCCAATGTGATGTAATTTTATATTTTCAAGGCTAAAGCTTTTCTTTTCTATCTGTGAGTTGGACTATTTCTCTATGTATTGTGGAATGTGGAGTGTCGCTGTAGGTTTGTGACTTTATGTCGTTAACTTTTTGAAGTTGGTTCATGTGGTTGTGAGTGCAAACCTGTGCAGTTGGTTAATGATGTGAACCTGTCAAGTTGGTTTTCTGTAGTGAGGTTGGTTTATGTTACATTCAACTTGTCCAACACGAAATGTATAGCTCTAATTTTGTTAATTTTATTGATTAATAATTGTCGAAAATCGGGTTGGAAAGAAAAAAAATGAGTCCAATTAGTCGTCCGGGCTGGCTAGGCCCGGGCATTTCTTGCCGTCCATTAGGCGGGCCTGGCCAAAAATTTTAGGCTCGTCATGCTGGATTTCGACAGGGCAATCTCCGTTAGCCTCTAGGCTGAGCCTAGCCTGAGCTCGCTCAATGATTAGGTCTGTGGATAGATAAAAAAAAGATTTTTCTAAAATCATAACGTCGTGCCATTTCTCATTAACATATGAATCTACGATATATATAACCCGAATTTGGTGAAACCAAGGAGCGCCTCAATATACCGTTATGTACTTATATCCCATCATCAATAATGCATTATGTGGTCCATGAGTACTTCCAAAGTCGGCAAAAGCGCATCATATCTCATAATGATAATTGACCACTATCTCGATAACTTCGCTTGTTACAATATAGTGGGTTGAATATTGGATAAATCCATGACCCGTACTTGGTGCATTTGTTTCGCGATCATTTTGGAAAATATTTTCTCAAAACGATCATTTATATTGATTACAAAAATAAATAAATAAATAAATAATATTTTTATTATTCATGAAAATGTCCAAACATAAATTGTTTGTCAATAATGAAAATATTTTTTATCAATAAATTATTTTAAATGATATAAACGATTAATTTAGGAATTTTTTTTCAAATTATTCACTTCCCTCAAAACAAACGGAGCTTAAATTATGAGAAAAGGTATTGAAATTATCCGACATCACCAACTGCAAATCTATTGGAAGCTACCTTATATAACCAATAAGATTATTAAACGAGGGTGAAAACTTTATAATCATATGAATAAACTACTAGCTATATACAGAGAAAAATATTTAGTTGTCGGTTCTGATGGAGTTCATCCTTGGTATTCGGTTAAGAGTTAAACTCACCAAAGAAAAAGAGATGAAAGTCCTACGAGGGCTTCTGCGGCCTGTTCGTTTGATATACAAAGACAGTGGGCTCTATTAATGCGTTCTTTATTTTAACATGTCGGTACTTGCATGCCTCGTACCCCCAGTCCTCATATATATTTGTCTTTCATAGGAAAAGGGAATACCCTCTGAAAGTTTTACATCCCGGTGATCCCAAGATCCAAACAAGAATTGATATGGAACATTTTAAGGACTTACACAGGTCCAAACTACTAGCTATGTACGGAGAAAAGTATTGACAAGTCGGTTCCGATGGAGTTTATCCTTACAAGGTGGAGTTACGCATCATAAATTAAAGTTGGGAAAATTACACAAATGGCCCATGAACTTTGGTTCAATGTGCAATGTGATTTTTAAACTTTCAATTTGTTCAATATAGTCTATGAACTTTCTCCCAAAATGCAATGTAGTCTTCAAACTTTTAATTCGTTCGATGTAATCCTTGGACTTTAGGTACATGTTCAATTTAGTCCATGCATATTGTGAAAAATGCTCAATGTTGTCCCTGAACTTGAATTAATTGAAGGACAACATTGAACATGTAGTAATAGTCCGAGGACCTCATTGAACAAATTAAAAGATCGGGGACCACATTGCACATTGGGGTAAAGTTTAGGAACTACATTGAACAATTCAAAAGTTTAGGGACTACATTATATATCGGACCAAAGTTCGGGGACCATATGTTTCATTAACCAATTAAAGCCTTTGTCCAGAAAACGACGGGGTAAAGGTTAAAATGGGCCGAATCACACGAAAAAACCCGACATTGATGGGCTTTTTAAACTGGGCCGGGTCGCCCAATTAGGGCTCGAAACCACCCCATTCAACGTTCACCTTCTTCCTCGTGCTCGCCCAGTCGCTCTCTAGTCAAGGCCATAAACCCTTTCAAATCCCCTTCTCGCTCGCTCTGCTCAGGCCTCGCAGTTCCAATCCAATCTCCGACTCCGATCGCTCCTCTCTCGGCGCGGCGAGGTTCAGGCCGGGGGCAGCGAAAATGAGCAGCTGGAAGAGCCTCCTCCTCCGGATCGGCGACAAGTGCCCGGAGTACAACAGCTCCGATCCCAAAGAACACATCGTAAGCTCATCTCTCCCCCTCCTTCCTTTGCTCGCCCTCGACATCGGCGCGGTTCCATCTGCGCATTGCTGCGCCGGAGGAGCAGAAACCCTAGGCGCGGGGTCGCGTTTTTCGTTTTCGCGTCGTTTTAAGCGGCTTCGCTTGATTCGCGGCCTTCGAATTCGCAGGAGACGTGCTACGGCGCTCTTCGGAGGGAGCTGGACCACTCCGGGAGCGACATTCTTCCGGTAATTTTAGCTCGCCTTCGTGGTCGTGCAGTTGTGTGGAGTCATTTTGGATTTGCTCATGTTTTATTTTTATTTTTTTTGCTTCTTGTCTCGACAGTTTCTTCTCCAGTGTGCCGAGCAGTTGCCGCACAAAATTCCTTTCTACGGCACCGTGGTACGGTATCTTTTAATATTTCCTGTGTCGTCTCTTCTGCTTCGATTGAATGATGGTTCGTAGCTATGCATGTGAGGATCTATGATGGATTGCCAGAGAGATGAAGTGAGCATTGGTGATTGTGTCGAAACGACATTTAGCACCGATTCCTTTTTTTTTTTTTTTTGTGTGTGTGGCCAGAGTAGTGGTTTCATGTTACTTCTCTATTAGTTAAAGCGTCTGCCAGTAGAAGCGTCCACGCACTTAATGTCTATCCGAAGAAGCACGTGTGTCTAGCTGTGGTCGAGTGGCGGTGCTCAGAGCACGCAGGCTCAGCGTGATGCTGACGAATTTCCGATTGCTTGTCAGGCAGAGTCTTGTATGCACTTGAGAGCAAGTCTTTTGTCAAAGAATCTTAGTGCAGTCCGTGAACTCTTGACAAGAAACAGAAAGACTTCATGCAGAAGTATAGCTGCAAAGTGTTTTCTTTTTGTGCGAAAACAGTTGATAGCAAGGGCTTACTTATTGTAAACCGACGCAATGTGTTAAATTCACCAGAGTGTTAGTTGGTGTCGGATAATCTAAACTGTTTGTGCCCCCTTCGTGCATACCTGATCCATTCTGCTGCCAATAGCAGTTGTAGACTTGATTAAGCCTAACTATGATGTTTCCAGCAAATTTTCTGCTTATAACCTGAAAAGTGGCATTTGCAATTTACTTTGTGGATGCTGCTATTTGTAGACTTGGTTGA